ACTGTCAAAGCTTCTGTTATAGAAAATTAATCAACACTTTCTGACAAATCAGATTCCAGAATTCAACAATGCTGCAGTATAAATATATATAAAACAAATGATCTGGATCACCACTATCCAACCAATCAGGACAATCAGGATTCAGTTTCTTGTCAATTCAGAAAGGTCCACCTCTTGCATTAGCATTCAGACATATATTTTGCGGGTGTGTCTTTTAAAGTCACTGACTACATCTTTAATTTAGCACTGGGGATTTGCTGTGCAAATGGAAAGAGTATGGAGCCAAAGCTACGATGAATGAGTCATATAGGCTGGACACACATTGAAAGAGGAATGAAGGGACAGAGGACAGGGACAGAAGAACGAGAATAGCAAGGACAGCAAAATAGAGAGTGCAGGTCTAAGTGGTTAAGATGAAGAGGAACACAAAAGGAAGACAGCCAGGAAAGAGCAGGAATCCAGCGTTAAAGATGAATACCGAGCAGAGCTTACCCTTGGCAGGATCAGGGAAGATGCCATGGCTGCGACTCTTGATGACAGAGGATTTAGGTGAGTCCTGACTGCTGTGCCCAGATGTTTTGGGTGAGTGCCCACTGGCCACTTTGGTCGAGTGTTGGCGTCCCTGGCCTGAGTGTGAGCGCCGGTGGTGCTCTCCTTCACACTGCTCCTTCAGTGGCAGCCAGCGTGGCACGTTATCCAGCTGAGCAGTGTTGGACAGGTCTATCAGCACCTGCAGCATGCAACAGAACCTGGTTACATGGCGCAGAGTTGAGCTTGTTTGTATATGTGTGTGTGTGTAAAATGGCTGTTTTCCCACCTCTCCCAGGAAGTCATTGGAGGAGCACTTGTCATAGTCCCATACACTGACCTCTAATGTCTTCTTCCTCAGCTAAATACATGCATAAACATAGAACAGAGAACATCAGCTTTATTTGCCGAACACATTTATCTCATTATTTTAAATATGTTTGAAAATGAGCCATATGACATTATAATACTTGTAGATGTGTAATACAATGCCATAGTCTGTATCTTTTTAGTGCCCCAAATATCTATATCTGTATCTTCTGTATCAAATTTAAACTCAAAGTGGGTGTGGCCTAAACCAGAAGGGTTTTTAAAAATTAAATATAAACTCTATCCACTATGCCCCAGGAAGTACTAGAAAACACTGGAAAAAGTCAGAGGTAGAAATGCCAACATTGTCAGCATGGTCTGTGAATTCTGGCTCTGATGGTTCCTCAGCCTCAGCTACATCACACAAGTTCATAATTGGTCTGAATTAGAGATGTGCGTGGGACTGTTTTTTAATCCCATGTGCAGATTTTTGTTTGTATCTGCCCGCAATATTTTCTAAGCAAAATATAAACAAACTGACCCAGACCAGGCAGTTACTAAGGATGAAGGAATGAACGCTCTAAATGAATATTAATGAAAAATGGTCTTTCTCTGTTCGGTGAGATTCATATCTGACTGCTTGCTCGCTCTGACTCGCATGAAAATTAAAAAAAAAAAAAAAAACTCCCTCTCACTGTTGACTCTTTTGTTGTATCCCATGGGATCCCAGTCCCGATGCACACCTTCAGTATCAACCAGATACCATGTCAATGTTTCTGGCAATAAATAACTAATAAATAAATAGTATCTATCACTAACAACACAACTAGCACTACAGCTAAGAAATCCAGATGGTGTGCTTGCAAAAGTCAACTCTACACACTTCTCTACCTTCTGTTCTCTCTCAATTAATACCTCTTTGCCTCGCCTCAGCAGTCCAGCAGCACTGCATCAGTCAGGGCTGTCTCTGCCTCCAAACACTGAGGAGAATGAAGGAGCTTTTTGGTCTTAATTAAGCTAAAGCACTTCTGGGAGCCTGGAGCCTGGTCCCTGATCACACCAAAGCCTGCGATTCTCTCTGAAGAGCTCTTTTCTAATTGAGACCTCAATATTGTTGTGGGCTACAGGTTTTTGAAATCTCACAAAAAGTGATTGCCTCCATTTTGAAGTTGGCTTTTAGTATCTGGTGCCTTTTTTGGCCATATTCATTGGATAGATACAAACCACTTCTATTCCTCAGATTAAACTCTTCTGCTTTACATTTTTGAACCCTAAAGCTTATTATGCAGTAACTACATAAAAACATATTCACATTTAACATTATTAAGCTAATGTTATTTTAGGAGGAAGGAGTGGAATTATTGCTAGAACCTTACATTAAACTACATACAGTTCCCTTAACTAACATTATTTAACACATTGGTTAACACGAACAGACCACAAACTATGGACTTTAGTATTAATACAAATTATGTAACATTTACAGTTACAGTCACTATAGTCACTACAGAGACTAATGGTGTAATACATTACAACACAGTCTTGTATACTATTTTACTGAATGTTAATATGGAGCTTGCACTATGTAAGGAATAACACACAATGGATCAAGCTGTTATAGGAAAATAATCCATGCTGGGGCGGAATTACTGTTACCACATGGAAGTGGATTATTTTCCTATAACAGCATGTCACAAAGTGTGTTATTCCTCTTTTACCACAGCAATTTGCCAATGATTACAATTTCTAATTTATTCATTAAAGAAATGTTATGCTTTTTATCTGTTTATAGTTACACTTAATGTTATAGAACAGACATGAAACAAGTTATTTCATGTTATCACTCACATTCTAACAGCTATAAACAGTTGCTCCCTCACCAGCTTTCTCTCTCTTGAAGTTAATAATGCAAGAAACTGCAGCTTGTCATGTTACAGAAAAACCAGAAAATGCAAACTCCTCTGTCCTGTGGCAGAAAACTTACTGACCATTACAATGCACTGACACTGGAGACTCATTCCATGAATGTTAAATAAATGTCTCCTTACGAAAAACGTCAGTGTTAAGCACAACAATATATAATGGATGCAATATAATGTCAGAAATACATTTATGATGCACTATAAACACTTTTTGTTTAGAAAGCTAGTACTGTATACTGAGTTTCTCCAACAGTAACTCATCTCAATAAATTGGTGATGAGGAAAGACAGCATCCACAAGTAGGATAAGTTTATTAAAAAAAATCCTTCAATCCTGCAATACAGTGGATAGTTCACCTGTTCCAAGTGGATGTTCTTGTAGATAACAGTTTGATTCCACTCAGGGTTCAAGCTCTTCTGGGCATGTTTGGATCTTCTTTTGTTCTCAGCGCTGCAACCAGATCACACACCACAAGGGGTCACTCCAGGGTACAAATCAAGGAGCTATGTGTTACATTTACATTTGGAGTATAACACCTCACATCAATGAACAATGAGTTGCACACAGCCCGAGGCACAGTATAGGCCTACAGTGACCTATACTTATTTACAGTGACATTAATGGAGTATGAAAAAGAGCAGAAGTCTAGTGATCTTAAAAAGAAAAGCACACAGCTAAAAAAGAAAGCAACTTAAGGCTGAACAAACCAAACATACTTCATTGAGCCATTCAGATGTGCTGTATCTATAGTGATATGGGACTGAGTAAAGATCTGATGGTACTGTAGGACAGAAAAACATACCTGGCATTCTGCACAACCATGACCTGACTGTGGGGATCCAGCATGCAGCAGAAACAGACAACAATCCATAAGGCGTGTGTTGCTGTGTGACAGTGTGTGTGTCAATGTGTTTGTTGTGGTCTGTGTGTGTGTAAGCCAGAGAGAGAAGCAGAGAAAATGAATGAGCGAAACAGTGTGGCACGTGGCTGGCATGGTCCATGCAAAGGCTGCGTTTAAATTTCTGAATTCTTTGCAGCTGTATGTGTGTATAAGTGTGTATATGTGTGTATGTGTGTGTGTATGTGTGTGCACTGATGCTTATGCAGGAGCCCATGCGTACATGCCCTAGTGGAGCATAGCAATAGCGTTGCTGTTATCTGTAGGCTCAATACAGGTAGGGCTGTGATAGCTTGTCATAGACCTAACACAAGCATACAACACACCACCAAACGCACAACTGCACAATAACTGAGGACAGAGGAATTCTCAGGTTACATATAAGCCAAACAGACATATTGATTTTTCTATAATGTTAGCTCTATCTCTCTCTCTCAAACACTCACACAGAGAACAAGAAGTACTCTATTGGTTATATTATAACATAATAGGCTTTTAAAGGGTTCTTTTGCTGATTGAGTGCTAATTGTAATTATATACAAGAATCCCATTAGCTGTTAAAGGCAATTTCACATTGTTAATAAAGTTTCAGCAATAGTAACCCATATATAGTGTAAAACGTTTGCATATATGAAAACAAATAAATTTAATTTACATAAATAAAATATTTAGTATGTTTAGGTAAGGAATAAAACACAATGGGATGTGCTGGTATAGGAAATTAATCAACGACAGAGTGGTGTGAAGCAGAGTTACTGTTAGCACCCTGAAGTTAATTATTTTCCAATAATAGCACACCCCAAAGTGTTTTATTACTCTTATACCACAGTGATTTGTCAACACTTACAGTTTGTGTTAAATTAAAAATTACATCATGTTTATCTGTTTTTTTAATCTGTTTATAGTTGAATTTAATGTCCACAAAACAAGTTCCCTTAAACTTGTTATAGTAGATATTAACAGTCATTCTCTCACCAGTCTCACTTTTTTCTAGAAGTTAATAAGACAAAAAAAAAATAGCAGCAAATGCTACACTACTGTAAGAGTTGCTGTTATAGAAAATTAATCAACACGTTCTGAACAATCAGAATCTATACTGTGGTAAGTTATATTATTACAAGTATATATATGCCCCACCTTTTCCCCTTATGCCTGCTGCTAGTCTCTTTCATATCTTCTGAACAGCTATTGAATGCTCCTCACCCCTTTGTTTTATTCATCACCCCCCCCCCCCCCCCCCCCCCCACACACACACACACACACACACACACACACACACACACACACACACAGTCCAAACACCAAAACTTTTTTTTTTTACTTTTTTTTTAAAACTACACTTTTGTATTGTTGTCTTGGTGGTTAAGACATTGGACTACTCATCAGAAGGTCATGAGTTCAAACCCCAGCATTGCCAAGCTGCCACTGCTGGGCCCTTGAGCAAGGCCCTTAACCCTCAACGGCTCAGTTGTATAAATGAGATAAATGTAAGTCGCTCTGGATAAGGCCGTCGGCCAAATGCCGTATTTGTAAAATGTAAATGTCTTGTTGTAAGATATCCTCACATTTCATTTCAAACATTTTGTAAACAATTTGATTTGTAGGAAACTGTAAAATAGGGGTCAATTTTACTTTATTCATTCAAAAACATAGGGGGATGCAAACTTTTGCACTAAACTATACAAGCTCAAACCTTTATGCACACTCAGACCTTTACATGCCAAATATTTTCTGCAAACAACCCTATGACTCAAGCTATTATGTATAACAAATGGTCTTTGCAATTCATTTACCCTCTTCCAGGCAGCAGGTAGACTTTAACAAAGGGGTCAGAGTAGCCGTTGTTGTCCCTTGGTGCCAGGTTCCGCGCTTGGAGAACATGAACAATGAGGTTGCCTAGCTGCTTGTCATAATTGATTTGAAGCTACAAAAGCAGGTGAGATATGAGACAAAGCATAGTAAGTGCGACATACTACAATCTCGACACAGTGTTTAAAATCAAAGTAACAAACAAACAGGCTTAAATAACAATCAAAGCTTTACCTGGATCTCTCCTGTGATTGGGTGAGACTGGGTCTTTGCAGCTTCTGCAGTCTAGTCAAAAGTAAAAAGTAGATATGAGTCCATGAATATGTAATGTTGTTCTTTGCTTTTAGTGCTTGTGTGTATTTTATAAAAGCAGGCTATACATGGAAGACTGTGTTTGTGTCTGTGTGTGTGTGTGTGTGTGTATGGTCACCTTGCTGTGGCGTTTCTTGCTAACGGAAGGTGAAGCAGGCTGCCCGGGGCTTGGCACAGAGCTGGAAGCTCCTGAAGCCGAGGATTTGTCCAGAGCCGTCAGAGAGGAGGCTGTGGAGCTGGGCGCCTGCTGCTGAGATACCTTTTGCAGCTCTGCAGCTAGCTGCTTTGGGTCAACACCTGGAGAGCGTGGTGGCCGTTCTACACACAGCATGGAGAGAGCTCAGAGGAAAACTATTCATGCATACATACATGTCCATTGTTGTCCGAGGAACTGATTTAAAGAAATACGTCAGCAATACACAATCTTATCTTCAGTTCCTGCTACATATTCATCAGGAACTTTACGCACTTGTGATTTACACTTCCCAAAAACAGTTTCTACCCAAGTCTCACTCATGTTTCAGTGGGTAATCTCACCTAGATACTGTAGATTTGTACCTACGAACTGCTGCTGTAATCATAAAGAATGTCCTGTGCTCATCCCAGGACTCTTATTCACCATCTGCCCATACATAACAACCTTTCAACACAATTAACACTGTTTGTCTTTACTCTTCTACACTCGTATACTGTAATGATTTATAATCCCACTATCCAGTGTCACCCATGTACAGAAGAGGATAGGTTCCATTTGAGTCCTCTCATGGTTTCTTCCTCATGTCATCTCAAGAGTTTTACCTTGATTCTGTTGACACTGGCTTGCTCATTAAGGATCTAAATCTACATCTGGATTTCTGTTATTTCTGTCTATTGTTACAAATAAAATAAAATGGAATTGAAGTGAATTGTAGCATTTGGGCAAGAATTGTGACACATTTTCCTGTACTGAGAAAATGAGAAAAAAAAAAGTTTACTTGACGACAACATACTGTATAATAGAAGTCTAAGGGCAGTTTTTTGGGCTTTTTTTTATGCATTTCTGTAGATCACTTTCATGATTTGTTTATATTAAGCTCTAAATCCTAGAGTTAAATCCTTTCAGATATGAGACTACGTGGTTTCTGCCTGATGGGACAAGGATACCACAAAACCTAATTAAATGTAAGTACATTTTACTTTCATAAAACTACCAATGAACACATTTAGTAATACATTCATATATGTCTGTCTCATAGTTAATGTTTATTTTAAATGTGTGTTATATACCCTCTTAATATAAATCTTTATTTGAGGAATTCAGCAACTGCCCTTAGGCTTCCATTTTAAGTAAGTTTAGAGTCAACAGGTTTTTCATTCTTTTCCAGATACATGTTAAAATTACTGACTGTGGTGATCATACATGTGGTGGATAGAGAATAGGCTGAAAAACACTGGAGTATTCCTATAATAAGGGTATGTGTCATGGTTCTTCCATTTGCTTCACAGTTCAAACTGGCAACAAACATCTCCACCTCTGTCCTGTTATTGGTTTGTTGCCCGATTGTGTTCACCTGTTTTTTATTTATTCTTGATAAGTTTGCCTTTTTATATCCTCTGTGTATCATTGTTTGTTGCAAAGTCGTACTGTGCATTGTTTTCATTAAGTCCAAGCCTTGTTTCCTCTGTATGTTCTGTGTATCTAAATGTATTTTCTAGTTTTATGTTCTGGTTCAATGCACTTCCTGTTTTTGACCCTAGATTCCATTCCTTGTTTCTGATTATGGATTAATCTTGTTCAACTTCGCCTACCCATTTTTTCGATCTTCTCTATGGACTCTGAGTACAATTTTTGGATTTGCCCCAATATACTGAGTTTACCTTGTATCCTACCTTGTATCCTGCCTTGCACTACACACTGCGATATATAACAGTGTCTATACAGTAGTTTGTACTGACATTGTTTGTACTGACAAAATCTTCAAAACTTAGAAAAATTTAAATTGTCTTATGTACCTGCTTTGGTCTGCTCATGAAGGTCTAAGTGGGAGCCCTCTGAGTCTGAGAGCATGTTCAGATCCCTTACACAAAATAAATGAGATGAGAAATAGGGTTAAATCTGAAAACCTGACTAATCAGACACGGATGAAAAAATCATAGATGAATCTATATTAAAAACAGACTCTGATACTTACAGTCTGACGCAGAGCTCTGCTTCTGCACACTGCTGACTGACCAATACCTGAACCTCTTCATAGGTTTTACTAGACAAAGAGATGCCATTCCATTCCAGGACCTGCATTCCTACACATAGAAATGCATACAATCAGTGATACACACAATTTTTAAGCATACATTGCTTAAAAGAGCAGCACCACATCACTCCCTTTGAAAAACCCCTATGACACTGCACACACAAACACACTCAGCAAGGCATAGCAAAAGTTCAGTGCAGGCCACAGCAACCTCAAACTCAAACGTAGGCTCCAACTTGGAGCACTTACACAGGTGAAAACGAGTCTTGAGGTAGGCCAGGTAAGCCCTCTTTCTACGCCGCAGTGCTCCCACCCTGCGATAGAACGTTGGCATGCCTGCAGGGTCATCGCATGACGTAGTTACTGCTCACAGACTTAACACATGCGTCCACACAAAGGTGCAGAACAGGAACTGAATGTCCTGTTCACACTTCTTTAACACTATCGTTTTCTGCTCGGCCTTAATGTGTAACATCAAGTCTGTGCGCTGTTGTATCCATGCCGACCACATGCACCTCCAACGCTCACACACAGCGCTGAAACATTTGACATTTGCTACATGGGTGGAATGTGATATACCGGGAATGAGCTCACGCAGAGAGGAGGCAAATGTTATGGCAAAAGGTTAGATTTAATCTTTGCTTTAGGCATGATACTACATGACACAACTACTGAATAATGCATTTTTTTTAAAACAATAGATATCACAATGAATTTATAGAAGCTGATTGATGATGTTCCTAAAAGTATTTTCTCGTAAAAAATATGCATGAATTTACATACTTAATACAACCATAAATCTAGTCTTGTTAGATTTAGAATTAAAATGTTAGAATTAAAATGTTTTTATTGTTTAATCAAGAAAACACCTCAGGCTGTTCTACACTTTTTTTCATTATTAACAGAACAGAAATCCAACAATAATCAACATTTCAGTAAAATCTAAATAGGAATTAGAATGAATGTGCAAAATTTCATGAATGCAGGTCATTTAGAAACTGCGATTTTTGGTTCTGAAAAAAAAAAACAGATTTGGAGGAAAATGGATTTAATTTTATTACTATACTTTAAGGGAAGATTTATTTATCAAAAAATCTGAAAAATAATTGACGTGAACAAAATCGTTGTTTCTACCTGTAGTGTCTTACCTGAAGAAAAAAACACTGAAGTGAAGAAGAACATGACATTAGGAAATATGAAGGGACAGAAAGAAATAAAAAGACATCACTGAAGCAGAGAACAGACTGAAATAACAACAGAATGATGAGTGGCATGAGTAGCAGAGAAAGCTCCAGACGGCCAGAAAAGGCCCAGCTGTTTGACCAGGCCTCATAAAAAAGCTCAAGTACAGATAGAGACAGTGCTGTGTGATTTCCCTCCCTCTCTCCTTCTACAGGATGCATCTACAGGATGCAGCACAATAGACAAAGCCAAAGCAATCCTAATTTACAGTTCCCTTGTGTGCAATCTTGTGCCAGGAGAAAGGCACATCATTAGTATTCCCTGTCAGCTACAACTGTGATCAATACAGGTTGCAGAATTTACAACGAATAAAACAGCCCACAAGAGTTAATTCCAGGGCCAGAAAAGACCTATAAATTTCTAAAATAATGATTCTACCATAAATTTTTACCATCTTAAAAAGTCCTGGATGGCCAGGCAGCTCTGGTACCTTTGACTTGTGTGACTGGCAGAGCTGAGCTATGGTACTAAAATTTGATGACTATAATTTAATACAATCTTCAAGAAATCTATTTAACTATTCAATCTGATAAATCATGCTAACAGACAACTTCTAGACAGCTACATGCTACACTAAACACATGTTCAACTTTGCATGATTAATTAAGTCTTTGACTTTCTTTCTCTGCTTAGCTGTTTTCATTTCAAAATGTGGATTCTTACTCATTATCTCATCCTAATAACTCGTTACAAGCTCCTTGGTGTAATGCTTTTCCTTGATAATGCAATTCTCCCAGTCATCTGTGTTGTGACAAGGTAGTATAAGTGTAAGGTATAAGTAACCGCTTTTGGTAGAAGGCCATTATTTGTGGTAGTAGTGGTC